TTCTAGGTGAAACTATATACCCTGTGTTGTATATTTGTCTATTTTTGCTGTTTTTTGTACTTTCTCTTCATGCACTCTTTCCTGTCTCTTTCTCTCCTTAGTTCGTATCCCCTTTCTTTAACACCTACCCTTTCCCTCTGTGTTTGTTATATATACGATTTTACCGCCTGTTAATGTGGAAGTTATGTCCCCCTAAAGGCAGCTGTGCCTCGGAACCTCCCTTCTGGTTCTTTTCCTGGGAGCAAGTTATTTACTACTCTTAACTCAAACTGGGTAAAACCATTTAAAAAGGACTATAAAAACAGGAGTAAAAAAGTAACAGAGTTTATTCCAGATCAGGTCGTTACAGGACAGAGAAATTGCTTGGAGCTTGCACAACTGTGGGCTCAAAAAACACGTCAGCAAGTGTCCGGCAGAGATTGAGCAAAGATTGAGCCTCAAACAATGTCATCTCCTCTTTCTTATACCTCATGAGTCTATGTGTTGCATCAGGTGGATGCTTTGCTGACGGCAATGCTCCCGCAGTATTATAAAATCTCCAAATATATTTCCTTAATAGATTTGTTTTCTTCTACCTAGTTGACCTTCTTTTTTACGCAAACAGTCTTTCTGAACCCTGTGAACACTTCCACAAGGTATCCCATCTGCTCGTCTAATCAGCCCCTTTAACAGCTCTAACAACTATCAACAGAACGTTCAAGTGGAGTTGGAAGCCAATCGGGCTTTCTCTAAATTGAAAAGAAGGATTGTTGAAGGTCCAGTCCTTGTCCATCCTTCTCTCAAGGCACAAGCGATCAATTCTCGGACTTCAGGGTAGATGCCGTTCCTCAGAGATGGGAAGTAACGAAGTACAAATACTTCGTTACTGTACTCAAGTAGATTTTTCTGATATTTTTACTTTACTTTACTACTTATTTTTATGGCGACTTTTTACTTCCACTCCTCACATTTTTACACAAATATCTGTACTTTCTACTCCTTACATTTTAAAAAATTGGCTCGTTACTTTAGTTTTGAATCATTTCAATGGAGTTACTATTATTATTTTTCACGTCATCAATACCAAATTCAATCTAATTGGATGGGAATCTACGTTGCATTTAACGCAACACTACAAGATGAATCGACAGATTCGGCGGTATTCATTCGTGGCAAATCATTGCAGCTTGGTGGCGGTGGCGTTAGCATAGTAGCATGGACGACGAGATGATTGAAAATGAACACAGCGGAGATCTAGTCCTATTGGCAGACATCCATTTAAAATGTAGGCAACGGCATGAAAAAAGTGGTTTCTACTTTTACTTTTATACTTTAAGTAAATTTACAAGCCTGTACTTTGTTACTTTTACTTGAGTAAAGAAGTTTAATCAGTACTTCCACTTTTACCAGAGTATTTTTTAACACAGGTATCTGTATTTTTACTCAAGTACAGAAAGTGAGTACTTTTGCCATCTCTGCCGTTCCTACTTAATACATATATGTTATGAGGTTTTATTTAAAGAGTTTGTCCCAAGTGATCTCTTTTCATTGAAGAGAGATAGAGCTTCAAGGTGCAGACATAGAGCCTATCTTTAACAGTTGTATTCAATTAAATCCTAATAAAATACAGTATATGAGCAGTGGCGCCTCCAGAAATGTTTCATAAGGGGGCCAGATGGGGCCACTAAAACTTGTGGGGTGGCACACTGAATCTAAAAGCCATAATTTCAGGGTTTTGATCTCCTATTATGGTAAACCTGCCTGTAGAAATCATAAAGACTTCAGAAAACACCTACCTATATCTTGGTTTATTGTGTGATTGTGTGATGGCTATGCATAATGGGATGAAATGCTAAACTGACGCTGCTACAATTTACTCTCGCCAGTGGGGGGCCAGTGGATTGCACAGGGTGGCATCACTGTTTAGTGGTGTATATGAGTGTAACTTGAGGATAACTGAAGGGTTTGACTGTATGAATGTTTGCAGGACACATTTTTATCATCCTCGGTGCTTCGGTGGATTTCTTTAGCTAGAGCTTAAACTCTTCTACATTTTTTTAAGTATCACTTTTAAACCAGCCTAAAGCGTTCCTGGCGGCCTCAAAACTCCAGTTTTCTAGCTTGGTTTAGTAAAGGGTAAAATAATAGTAACCTCTGTCGCATTATATGTGGAAAAAGATTTTAAATGTTTATTTTGTTTATTTTATGCAAGCAACTTTTTTTTGTACAGGGCCTTCTGAACTTTTCAAAGACAATGTTTACAACAACCCAATTAAAAACAAAAAACAATAAATAACAGAGTCTATTAGACGTTTTTTACTCAGGTTATCCTGGGCTATCTCTATAGTTATGCTGCTATAGGCTTAGAATGCTGGAGGACATAGGGAGCCCTTTTTCACCATTCTGCTTAATTTACAGTTGCCTTTTGCATCTCTGCTTCTGTCTCATTGAACCCCAGTCGGGCCTGAGCAGATGGCCGCTCACACTGAGCCTGGTTCTTAAAAGGGAGTTTTTCCTCTCCACTGTCACTACAAACATGCTTAGTATGAGGAATTGACTTCAAGTCAATGAGTCGATGCAATCAAATGGTTTTCCTTATATAGAAACTTTGAACCAAGTTGACTGCATGATCTGTTGAACTGTAAAGTGCCTTGAGAAGACGTGTTGTGAATTGGCGCTATAGAAATATTGAACGGTGCTCTGATTTCAGTTGGAGCACTTCTGCTGCACCTATTTTTTAACTGACGGCTAACAGAAATTTTCCTATTTGTCACACCTTATTTAATCTTAAAATGCTTCCATTAATGTTTAATTTGGAGATAATCCCTGGTGAAATTGTTATAAAAAAGACACAGGGGACCAACCCCAACTCTTTATTTTTTATTTAAAGTCTTTTAAATCAATATTAACCAGAGGAGCCTGTGATTCTGTATAACTACTTTATATTTAGTCCTCTTTGTCTCTCTATAATCAAAAATATTGTCTGATGGAGCTATTTATTCTTTATCTCTTTATCCATTTGAAGTTTGTTAGTTTATTCTTACATTTATATTTTTGTATCATTTACAGAGTTTATTTGCAGGTTAATAATTGTTTATTCTATTAATCTTTTTATTATTTTTTCTAATTTATTTATTTTTTGTTCTGAGGTAAGACAGGAAGTAAATGTGTCCACTTTCTATAAGTGTAGGGGCCTGGGAAGGGACCAGCAGGCATTTTGGGTTTGGAACCTATGGTTTTTACCAGAGCAGGAGAGGTAGCAGAAAGAACAAAGGTTGAACTCTGTAATTGCTGGCTAGAAGAAAAAATAAATCATCCTGAACAATCAACAAGTTTGGACATTGAACCTTCTTTTGCCTGCGTATAGAAACTTGACCCCAGTTCACTAGTAGTGGCTTAAGGGAACCTTTTTGTTCACTAAGAAAAATAATATAAAATGGCATTTTCTTAATTATTCATATTCAGTTACTTTAACACATTTGATCATTAGCAGTGTAGGACATAAAACACTTGTCTTAAAGTAGCTAAATGTCATTAAGTAAATGCCAAAAAAAGTTGCATTATTTTTTTCAGTGTTGGATGTTTAGCTTGACAAACAATCGCCACTGCATTATTTAAACAACATAGTTTTGTCCCTAAACATGGCCTACTCAGGGGAAGATTTAGGAAATTTGGGGCCCTAGGCAAAGACAGGCAGGGGGCCCTCTGAATTGAGAACATATAGAACAGTCCCATTATACAGATAGATAAATGTTAATAGAATAGACATCCATTATTTGTTCTATGTTTTGTCCCTCTCTTCTTTAATTGTTGTTTTCCTCTCTATGTTTTGTACTCAGCTGACTTTTCATGCTGAAAGATTTTTTCCAAGCACTAAGCTCACTTAGCTGATTGCTCCTTCCTGTGTTTCCAAAAAGGCGACGGCAAAAGTAAATAACCCAGTCCTTCTTTTCACTGCAGACAAGCCATGATCTGCTTATCTGTTCTCCATTTTTCATTTGGATGAAATAATATCTGCATGAATCATGACAGCAGACAAGATAGAGGAGAGCAGGAGGCGGGGTTACCCAATGGCAAAAATATTGGTAAGCAGAGACTGCAGATGCTTAGGGGCCCCGTCACTGACACCTGGTGGGCCCCCTTCACATTTGTGGACTAGGATGTCAGATTGTAGATGTAATGGTGCAAAAAATTCCTCTTAGAACCCACCTGATTTTAGTATTACTGACCGGTCCTTATTTATTCCACAAGACATGCCAGATTTCAACATGATGGTGAGACGTTTAAACACGACACCAATAGCAAAGCAGACAGTGGTAGTTTTATTTACTATGTTAAAAACTGTGTATAGTTCATTAGACGGTTGGTAAAAAATACACTCATATAATATGTTTCAAACCGCAATAAAGATATTAAAAGAAAGATGTGTTTGAGTATTTATTTTTGGGGTAATCCAGATTGTTGTACTCCATATGGGGCCAACCCAGATAATGTTTCTTACTGCTTCTTATTGTTGTGTCGTTACGCCATTGGGTTACCAATCTACTTGCTCTGGAGAGCAGAGTTCGCTGCTTTTAGATGTTGTCGCCAAAGTCTCCAGTAGCAGAAAAAAGTCGCTAGATTTGGCGCTAGGTGCTTTTATGAAATGAAAATGCTAGAGGGGTCTGAAAAGTCGCTAAATATAGTGACTAAAGCTCTAATTTCACTACACTGCTCTTTACATCATTTGTTTTCAAATGTTTTGCTGCTGTCTGTTTGGACCTTTCTGAACATGTGCAGCAAATGGACTGATCCAATATGGTGGACACTGAAGGGGGGGTTGACAGAGACACCACTGCTCCTCCAAGTGTTCTGATGGCATTTTAACAAAAGGATTTTTACCAAAAATATGCACAAACAAGGAATAGTTGTCCATACATGTAAACAGATCTTTATGGGGCCCCCAGGAACCTGGGACCCTAGGCCTGCTGAAAATAACCAAGTCTTCTTTTACCAAAAAGAAAAAAGGACATTTATTTTTAATTTACTGTATATTTTATTAGAAAACAAACTGTACAAAAGGTCAGAATGAGTAGAAACCTCTGTAGCTACATGTAAAAACCAAAAGTCCTTCTGATGACAACCTGCTGAGGAGATGAGTCCCACAGCTCACCTGTTCACACAGATTTCAGCCCTTAGATCCACGCAGGTATCTGGTCTACATTCATTTCAGCAACACATATTTTACAGGTTTAAACTTGTAAACTTGTTGGATCCTCTGGAGCAGGACGGGCTGTCAGCCCAAACTAAAAGTCCCCACATCAAGTCCTCTGCTCGGTTTACACGTAGAGCTTCTTGTCAAAGTCCCCGCTGATGCTGATGCTTTTAGATGGAGCCTGTTTGATGGGGAAGGAGCCCCGGGCTGCCTGGATGAAGGAGCAGCACAGCAGGGCCCCCCCGGACAGCAGCAGCCCGGCGGCGGCCCAGCCCATGTAGATGGACGCCCCGATCTCCCTCTTCTGCGCAGGAGGAACTTTGGGGTCGTAGAAACCCACGATGATGTTGTTGGCGATCCAGCAGGCCGGAACCAGCACGAAGAGCCCGCTGAAGACGTAGATGATGCCTCCGGCGTAGACCACCCTCTTCTTGACGGTCTCGTCCTTGATGCAGTTGGTGCACTGCGCCCCGGCCACCGTCACGGCCAGCCCGACCACCCCCAGCACCGCGGAGATCACCGTCAGCGCGCGCGCTATCTGCAGGTCCTGCTCCAGGCCCAGCACCGAGTCGTGGATCTTACACTGCATGTGTCCGGTGCTCTGAACCACGCAGGACATCCACAGCCCCTCCCACGTAGTCTGAGCCACCACGATGTTGCTCTCGATGAAGGCGTTCACCTTCCAGGTGGGCATCCCGCAGGCGATCATCACCAGCAGCGAGCCCGCGACGCACAGCGTCATCCCCAGGCACTCCAGACAGGCGGCCACCATGCTTCTGGTTCTGGTTCTGGTTCTGGTTCTGGTTCTCCTGCTGATCCCTGGAACGTGCTTCAGTGTTTGGCTGCTTTCTGATCACAGCTGCTTTTTATTCAGCATCCTCCCTCAGAGAGAGAGGCAGGATGCTGAAAACTTTGGACCAATCAGCAGCGGGGGCATCTTTGCGTCAGCTGCAGAGGAGGGAAGCATCTGTATCCCGCATAAAAAACAAAACACAGGAGACTGTGACGGCTTTATGTTTACAGTTTAGATCCGATCAACTGTAAGTGTCTTCCTGTAATTTGGACCAGACAGATTTCCAGTCCAGGAGAATAAAGGATTCAAACGTAGTTCTAAACGTGATTTATTTTTAATAAGGTGCATTGATTCAGTTCACTTTATTTATCTATTCATTTCTATTCAGTTTATGTAGCGCCAGTCCACAACACACGTCATCTCAAGTAACTTTACAGTACAACCAGATCGATTCATTGACTCAAAGCCAATCATTCACACTAAGCATGCTTGTAGCGACAGTGGAGAGGAAAAACTCCCTTTTGATAGGAAGAAACCTCCAGCAGAACCAGGCTCAGTGTGAGCGGCCATCTGCTGAGGCCGACTGGGGTTCAAGGAGACAGAAGCAGAGATA